TGTAAAGCTACAACAAAATTGGCTTTGACCTATTTACATTTTCTAATCCAACCTCATAAGCCTAGTTGTTTTCTTTCTAAACCCTGATCTTTTTTTATTCCTTCTCAAATGCCTTCTTAGGGACTGACATCCATCTCATCGCAGAATATGATGATGCCTGGTACAGTGCTTGGCATTCAGTGCTTTAAAGACTGTTGCCTTAGATGTGGCTTAGTCCTCCCAGACTATTCTGGCAGCAATCCTTGAAACCGTGGGCTCTGTAAACCTTTGCTGTCCTCTATAGGAGGAAGAACTCTAGGAGGAATAGTTTACAGAGTTAGTCTTTAAGACACTTTTATTTTAACAATTGTTTGTTTTTACAAAACAGCACTAGAAGCTAGCACCATGCCCTGCTCCTTGGTCTTTAATGGTGTTACAGTTTTCCTCTTGACAATCCCCCATGCTTATATTTAAGTTGGTCTCTACTTACACATACTTAGAATGTCCCTTTATTTGATACCATCTGAGGGCTGCCTTATTGTGTAGTAGCTAAGTGCCACAATATGGCACAAGTCATGCTGCTGCATTAGCAATGATCTAAAGATAGGCCGATTTTACAAGGAAGAAGCAACATTATTTCTCTAAGTGAAGTAATAATGAAAAAATTTAAAAGGACAAACTTTCAGGCATTAAACCTATTTCCTGGTTTGTTTGTTTGTTTTTTTTTTTTTACACAGGCATTAATAAAGCTTTCAAACCTTATCCCCCTCCTTGTATAACACTAATCTCTGCAGCCCCCCCCCCCCCCCCCCCCTTTGCCTATTTATGGAGCCAATGATGTCCTTCACTGTGTCAAGACTGCTATCCCTGTTTCTTAGGACAGTGCCCTGCCATGTGCGTCACTGTCCTCATCCTGATCCATGTGCAGTAGCTCCGCAGACTGCTGAGGCACTGTTGTGCTGATTGTATGTGGCACCATCTTGCTGAAAAGAGCAGTTGTGTCAATCTGCTCTGCTTTGAGTAAGAGAAATTGTGCCCCAGTGAACTTGCTGAGAAGGCTCCTGTTGATGTCAGGGCTTTGGGCTGCAGTTATGGCTAGTTATAGTTTGGGCTATGACAGAGGACATCAAGTTTCCATTTGGGTCTCTTCAGCAGCTGAAGCAGGGTCCCCAGGGTGCAGGCTCCCTGTGCTTTTCCCCACAGCAGCACAGCAGTGCACTCATGCAGCAGAACGGGTTGTGCCAAAGCAGGGTCTGGCCCTGTTAACGAACCCTGTCTACAGCGCCAGCCGCTCTGAGGAAGCACAGATCCTTAGTTCCTGTGCCTAAGCTTGCTCTTTCAAGAAAATATTAACATTATTCCAAGCTGCTTTTTAACAGCTCTTCAGGACTGGGGGAGAGCTAGCTCTGGTACCTTAGTGCAAGCAAGACTAATAATTAGAAGGATGAGGCTGGTGCAGCTGGGTTGAAATGTGTTTAAGCAAACAAAAGTAGTGAAAAAAAAAAAGAGCAGCCTCTGCCTACTTCAGTTTAGGGGAAAGGTCTCTCTGACTCTACCTGCTCTGAGGCTACATTGAGGCTTTTTCACTCTGCTCTGAGACTTGCTGACACTACTGATTCAACGCTGTATCAAGACACTCCAACTGTGATCTGAGACCTGAAGCAGAGTGGAGCATCTTGACACAGTGTCAAAACAGTAGTCAAGAGCGCATGGACGCAGCACTGAAAGGCTTTTGTCTCCCAAATGAAAAGGAGCTGGATTATTGTAACTTTTTTTTATTATTTATTATTGGAAGTTTTCTCTTAAATAAAAACTCCCACAGTTTATTTGCAGGAAGAAAGGGTGACATGTCCCGTTTCCCCCCCCCCGCTTCGATAAAGCAATGTGACAGGCAATGGCTTCACTGTACAATACACTTCTCTAAAGCAAAGTTCTTTGGCTTTGGAGAAGTAAAAGATTCCATTTGGAAATTATTCCAATTTAGGAACCAAAAGGGGTTAGTCCTTTCATGATACTGCACATCAGTCATATCTTTGTGCATGTTTGTGTTTGCTGTATAATTTGGACAGACAGTTTTTTACAGTGACATTCGTTTGAACTATTATTTTGGGGCATGGCATTGGTCACAACTGTCCACAAAATTCAGGCTCTGGCTTTTGGTAAGAATAGCTGTGAATTCAGATATTTGAGTGCTGACCAATATTCATCAACAAAAGAAATTAGTTCAATTGTCAGAATGTGGCAATGCCTGCTGAGAAAGGTTTCTTTTCTGCAGATGAGATGGTCTTAATGTTACATGGACTGTGACTTTAAACAGGTTAAACTCATTTATTTAAAAAATGAGAAAATAGATTTTTTTTTTTTTCCTTGCTGGCATCACAGGTACCAAGGAATTAGCAAAACCACCTACCGAATATTTTATAGATGGTGGTGTTTTTGCTGAATGTTAAATGAAAACAATCCATTAAAATAAAAAATGAAAATTCTTTTTGTTTCCTTTTCCTCTTGGGCCTTCCCAAAAGGAGGTCGACACCAACACAGTTTGAAAAATACTTACCTAAGCCAATGATTGCCCAGCATGTATTCCCTTGAGCAACTTGAGTGGGCAGGATGCCATCTGAACAGATGGGCATTACTGTAGGCAACCAAGAGACCATGCATGTGAATCAAGTATGGGTGTTTACAGCACCATTTCCCTGATGAGAATGTCAAAATGGCAGCCCAGTCCAAGCCTTTGGCTCAGTTTGTTTGCATTTCACTAATTCAGTTCTAAAATGGACAACCTCACAAAATAAATAATTAAGTTGGATGGTCATGATTTTACTTCATGGAATTGGGCAGAAAAGGTGGTTAATGCGCTCACCCCAAATAATGTGCCTGCCTCTGGTCTGTACCGTGAAGGCTTGCTACTTTGTAAAATGAGGGCAAAGAAGTCGCCATGTCTAACGGGGCTAAGTATAACATAAAAAACAGGCAGGCATACTAATACTACAGATGTACTCCAAACTGAAAGAAAGAAACATTTGCACTTCTTTTTAGTAGGGCATCTTATTTCAAATAAAAATAAAAACAGTATGAAGTGGGACTTATATGCATGATGTATTCGAATAATATATTAGTGCAGGGTCAGATTCTTAAAGTTACACATTTCATTGCTGTCCTGAAGAGAAATTCACATAAATGTTGCAGTATTTTTGAGCCTAGCACTCAGTGCAACTCCTATATGTGTTGAATGAAGTGAGTTCTACTGAATTATCGTTGGAAGTTCTCTAACATCTATCACAAAGAGGTCTTTAAGTATAGAAATAAAGACTGGAATTTGAATATTAAGTTAAAGGATATTAAATTATAGATTCATCTACTTTAACAAAAAAGACTATGCTATATGTATCCTGGAAGCTTGATTTAAAGTATGTGTCTGAAACGATGTTGTTATTTTATTTTTCTTTTGATGATCTGTTAATAGTTTCTTTGCACCAACTTCCATATGGTTGTGTAACACTAACAGCTTATGTAGCCTTCAGGTTTATCTTTGGTAATTATGTAACTTTTGCTTTCCTCAGCTGCTAGTTAGCCTGAATTTGAAGAACTGGGATACTGAATCTTCTTCTTACTTTTTTTTTTTTTTTTTTCCAGGAATAATGCAACATCTTACTGATAATAGCTAAAACTGTCTGTGTTTTAGATTTGAATTATTTGTTCCTACTTTTTATTTATTTTTTTTTTTAAATCATCTAATTTCTGCTTGGGCGATTTTGAGGAAGTACCCAGTGAGTTTTACTTATACTCCTATCCCTCAGCTGGGGAATTCAGGGAAAAAAAAAAAAAAGAATAAAAAAAAAATTGAAAAACAGAATGTGAAAATTAAAATAAAAATAGTTATTTCTTAACACTTGGTTGGAACAAATAGTATCTGGAGTGTGTCCTTCTGTATGCAAAATATTCCAATATTTTTCTTTATTATTTCAAGCTATCAGAATCAAACTTTTCATTTGTCTTCTATATGTGTTATGAAGGCTTCGACTTCTGCTATTAGACTTGCTAAAATGCTCTGTTACCTTGTATTTCATTTTCTAGGGAGCATGATGTTTATTTTCTTGCTCAATGTCATGGTAACAGAAACAATTCCTTTATATGGTATCTATGTTTGTGTTTTAAATACAAGCCAGGCAGGTTGGAGATTGCTGTATATCCCATGTGGAAATACAGCACTAGCTTTCTGGGTGCCAACACATACTCTCAGCTGTTGCTCTAGGGTCACAGATGCATCTCACACTGAATCAGTTAAAAATGCAGGAGCTGTGTTTGGGGACACAAGCTCAAATTTTCAGGGCCTGATTATTCTGTTAGTTTCATATGTGCAATTCCCACTGAAGTCAGCAGAAGTAGTGCATGCAGACCTGACAGGCTAATTTGGAGCCCAGAAATGCAAAGGATGTAATCATATGTTTGATTTCTGTGAGTACTCAAGGTCTGATTCTAACCCATCTACACGACGTTATGATTTACCACAGCTTTTAAGGATTTGAATGGATCCAAAAATATCAGGCTACTTGTGGTATTTTTTTTCAATGAACAGGGGAAGAAAAAGAGATCTGAAGTGTATGAGCTCATGCTGGACAAGGCCAGAGAGAAAAATTCATTCTACAGTGCTCAAAAACTGAGCTAAGACTAACACAATGTATGGCATACTATGTAAGGAAAAGAAATGTGAGACCCTGAGGAATGAAGGCAAACTAATCAAAGGAATAGCTAATGGCCTAGAAGGAGGACAGGGAACAGCCTGTTTCTTATTTAGCCCACTCAGTTCTCAGTTCAGAGGGCCAGACTGCTGGGACCTGAGCCCAAGATCTTAATGATTTTGTCCAAAAGGGGTCAAATTCATGGCAAATTCTTTATGTCTACATATTTTATTCTTTGATCAGAAATGAACAATTTCTTCCAGACAGGGAACAGAGCCAAGTACTGGTGCTGGACCACACACCACCAAGTACGTGTGCTACTTTTGCACACACTCTCCAAAATGACTTCCACCTGCAGTCCTACAACATGCCAGAGTGATACTGCTGGTCCAGTTGGCTTGCTGACTAATCAGCACCTCAGGGCAAAAAGAATTGTCACGGAAAATGGATTTGGCACCTGAACCATCAATAGGTGAGCCGAGATGACCAGTAAGGTCTGAGCAAGCTGATGCTTTTTCCAATAAGTGACTGGAGATCAAAACCTTTAATATGATGCTCCCAGTGTCAGTATTAACTCTCTCATCTGTTTTCAGATTAACAGAACTGAGAAGCCCAAGAAAGACAGTGGAGGCTGGAGTGATGCTGATTACACTGGAATGTATGGCAGTTGGTTGAACTAATGGAGAACAGAATTACAGATGTCCATAGGAATTGAAGGAGCCTTACAATGAAGAGGGTGGGCCAGCAGTGCAGTCTGCAAAATGGAGAACGTGAAGGTTTGCCGAGTCCTCTCTCCTGAAGCCTACAGCTTTGAGAAATGGTCAAGATGTAGTCTTAGGAATCCCTAATTTCTCTGGCATCCCCAAATATACTAATTAATAAACTAATTATTACTAATACAGAAGGAAGTGAAAGGTGTTGCTTGTGTTATAAAGTATTAATGTTCAATTTTTAAACTATCATTTTTCTGTGATGACAGCAGAGGACTATGCCATTGAAATAAAGTGTTTCTAGCCTGTAGCACTGAAAAAAATCAGTCTGAGGCCAAGGATATTTAAGGCTCATGAGTAAAAACATACTTGTAAGACAGATACAGTGCAAGATGACCCCAAGAATGAATAGTAAATGCAAGGTACTTGAATTTTACATGTTCTGGGGTCTGGGAAAACCTGATTTGCGTTCATCTTTATTGAAACACCTGGCCAATGCCCCCTACACAGCCTCGGACAGGATGTACCTTTATGGTCAGTGGTCACCTGGAGGCTGCTAAGGAAAACCTGGCTGTTACCTGGTGTGAGTGACCACACTGGTCCCAACCTGCAGCGAGAAGCACGTCCCTCCTTTCTGCTGCATTAGGAGGCCTATGTGGTCACCTCAAGCACCGTGCTGGGAAGAGTAGTGGGCAGCCAGCACTCTCTCACTGCCCTCTCCTCGGGCAGCCGCCATCACTGCGTGGCCATGGGCTTCTCTCAACTCCTGCTCCTGAAGAACTCGTGAACCGAGCATCTGGGCTTGAATAACGGGACTAACGCCGGGCGCTGGGTGCCGCCGGGCCTGGGTCCACGGCGGAGACTAAGAGCAGGCTGGGGCAGCGAGGAGCAGCCGGGGGCGGACGTCTCGCGTCAACTCCTGAAGTGGGCGAGGAGCCGCCATGGCCGCGGCTGAGGTAAGACATTTCCCGGCCCGGCAGCGCGCGGCTGCCCCTAAGCGCCAACGAGCAGCGTCCCGCCCCGCCCCGCCCCGTCCCCGCCCTGGGGCGGTGCCCCCGCTCACCCCCGTCTCGGCTTCTGCCCCAGAGAGCGGCTGCCGAGCTCGCAGGGCCTCGGTGTTGCGGAGGCCACGAGAGGGGGCCCTTAGGTGTCCCGGCGGGCGCAGCGTAGTGTGTAGTCCTGCTCTCCTTTTTCTCCGGAGCTTCGCAAGCCACCGACCACCGCCTCCTGTCAGTTACAGCCGTGTCCAGGCTGGTAATGGCTGAAAGTCGCTGCTAGCTCGCTGGTGGTGCGAAGCGAGTTGACAGTTCCAGTCAGTGTGGCAGCACGCACGTTAATCGTCACACGAAGTCTTGTGTCACCTGCTCCCCTCCACAGGCACAGTGAGGACTGAGCCGCATGTGGCTTGACCATCCACGCGTCCTCAAGTCTTGGTCAAAACTTCCCGGTCACAGAGGGGACAAGGCAGCTTTGACTGTAGCAGCGCTGCCTCAGGAGACCACAATGACCGCAGGCATACGTTCTTTTTGCTCTGTTTGTGAGGGTCTGATAAATAATTTTAACATAAATAATATGCAGCTTTTATTGTCACTTTTAACCAGTTGATATAAAGAAAGCACCTAAGGGAGGGATTGTAGCATTAACTATTTAAAGTAGATGCTGTACGTGTCAACTCTGTGGAAGAGAAAGCTGGTACTTGGCGAATACAGGACAACACAACTGCAGAGGAGGGGTTTGAAAGATGATGGTGGGGTACTAGGCAGAGGGGAGGAGAGGCAAAAGCCCAAAATGGAAAAGGCTGGAACAAGACTTGTAATGTATAGCTTGGTAGGGCCAGAGGCAGGGTGCATAGGGAATGAGATCTCTGAACCTTGATGCAGATGTGATCATATAAAGTTCGCTATGTTCCCATAGCCTATGTAGGACAGTTCTTCACATTTTTGTAGTAATGTTTTCAGCGTTGAAAGAAGTAAAGAAGGTGAACAGAGCAGACAGGCTGCATTATCAGGGAGAGCTTATTACTTACTGCTCCCTTATTAGGGAGAGCAGTAAATAAAGTATAGCAAAACCCCCCCAACAAAACAATAAAAGAACCCCAACCCCCCCCAAAACAACGAAGACCCCCCCAAAAAAAAACCAACCTCCCCCCAAGAAAAAAAGCCACCAAAAAAAACAACCAACCAACCAAAAAACAACCAAAGAACCCCACTCCTATGGGCAGAGAATAAGTAGTCTGATTTTTAGCTTAGTGAACTGAAAGTAGTGGTGGGATACCTCAAAAGAAGTGTCAGAGAGAGAGATAGGGAGAGGTGCGATGTGGAATCAAATAAAATAAATTAGCTGTATAATCTTGAGAAGGGATAAAGTTGCCTTAATAATTAGCATGGAAAAAGGAGAAAATACAGAAAAATATGACTGCTGTTGGTGTGTACTGGGAGAAGAATGATGAAGGTTACCAGAGGAAAAAGCAGGGAGTCTGTCAGAATAAGACTTGCTTTGGACAGAAATAAAGGACAGGTATTACAAAGACTGACTGAGAACAACAGAAATCATGAGGAGACCTCTTGGTGTGTCCAAGAGGTGGTATTTTCAGGTAGACTGTGTAGACATTTATATATATATAATACACAGATTTATGCTGATGCCCTCCCTGAGCATTCTGGGGTGGTTCCCTGTAAACCTCTCTGCCCTGAAGTGGTGAGGCAGCAGTTCTGTGGTGGCTGTTGGCCTCTGTATGTGTCTTGTACTATAGCTGTTATGGCTTATCCAGTGAGTTTAGGTTCTTGTTAGAGGCTCAGTCCTACAGGGAGCAATATATGCAGCAGATGTTTGCAGTAACACAAAACAGCCTTTTGAAAGAGGCTGCTTTTCAGTCAACCCAAATGTGTTCCTGTTGAGAATGGTGAAGCAAACCAGCTAAAAATGTGTACAGGCTTGTAATGTGAATTTCCAGTGCATATATATATATATATATATCTATATATATATATATTCTTTTTTGGTGTGGAACTGCTAGTTCTTACTGTGGTGTCCAGGTGTGTCTGTTGCATGGTAGTCCAGCTCTTTGAAGAGTTTTTTATCCTGGATTGTGGGTAGCTCGTATTTTGTCATTGGCCTTTCACTGCATCGCTGAGGTACTTCTGCTTGTCTGTTGACAGACCTTCATAGCACTTAACTTGCAATCTGGCTGCATGACTTCTACTCCCCTATTGTAGGGGAGAGATGAGTTTTCTCACTTCATGTGACAACAGTGGTATGAACAGTTAGTCTTAAGTTGTACATGCTGGTCATAAGATAGCCTACAAATTGTCCACAAATGTAAATGCATTTGTACTTTATTGCATTTTTAACTGGACAATAAGAGCAAACCTTAATAAGAAAACAGTGATAAGTTATTAATTCAGCTATCATAAGTCTGTTTGCTTCAGAGTAGAATTTGGACAGAGGCAGACAAGTAAATACAAACTAAAAGTGCTCTTTTGTGAATTTGTTTTGCAGATATTTTCACATAATTGATATTTTTCGTTTAATGCTGCTGTTAACAGCACACTGTACAATGGAGCCAGCATTTGGAAAATGTAATTTGTTCCTCAAAAAAGAAATAAGGAAAAATGTTTCAGTGGGAGACTGCAAGTAAAGAACGTTAACACTGAGCTGTGACTCAGTTCGCAGATTCTGGCCTTACAGACAGATATGATTTGATAGAACTTCGCACTTCTACCCCACTTCTACTTTTTTGCATTTCTGCACATATACTTTTTATTTCACCTAGCTCGGGGTACCTACAAGTTCCTGGTGGAAGGGGCTGCACTGCTTGTTTCTGCTCGCATTCTGCTTATTGTTTGCCTTTCTTGTCTGTTTGCATAAAATCTAGTGATGATGTGGCTGCAGGAGTGGAAAGGATTGGTTCAGCAAACTGATCTGATGGAAAACTGGTCTCCCCAAAATTAAACAGATACAGTGTTCTGTCACTCAGGGGAACTGAACTTATTCATGTAGTGACTGCACAGTGTCCACATACTGTGCAAGGGAGGGTCTGCAAATCCACTCGTGCTTGTGGGAAGAAAGTGTGGGAACAGAATGATTCCTTTGGTGGTAGTCTACAGTTACACTGGATTGGTTATACTGGGAAATCTTTTGTCACTGTTAAGGTAGCTGAATATATGAGAGGTCAGTATGAATTCATCCACATTTAGCAGTGGACACACATTACACAGCTGTTGGTGTCATTAGAAACTTTATGGAAACAAGTCTGAGGCAGAATTTGCTTTTGGGTTTTGTATTTGTATATAAAAGAAAAACAAGCAATTTGACTAATTAGCTACAAAACCAACAGTCCAATGGATAAGTAGTTTTCTGTGTTTGTTGTGGTTTTGGTGTTTTTTTTTTGTTGTGTTTTTTTTTTTTTTTATATACTCTACATCTGCTTGTACTACTGAGGTGGTACTAAACAGAAAAAATACAGGCATAACTAGCTGTTACAAAATCCTCCTGCTCTCTATCAAGGAGAAACCTTCACCAGTGTAAGATTGGGTGAGGAAGTGGAGCTCAATTTCCTCACTCAGCTTGTATGCATGCCACAATCCAGGCCTTCAGCTGTAGAGCTAAAACCTGCTGAATAGCTTTTCCCCACTCTCTTCATAAGATCTGTTGCACTGCATGCAAAGTGTTAAAGCTGTGCACTGGTATTCTCAAGCAGCATAGAACTGTAGCTATCACCAGCACCTTGTCTTGAAATCCTTTTCTGTAGGTTCTTATCATTTAAGTTGCCTATTTTTAAATTGCATCTGAATGAATATTTCAAATTATTTAGGGGGGAAATGTCGTGACTCAGGCCTGATGCTCAGGCAGTGACCATGCTTGCACTGAGGATTTATTCTTTGTGGAGGACAGACATCCTAATAGCCAGTTTGTGACACTCCCTCTAAGACCAAGGGTGATGGAATCCCTCCACTTTTGATGCTTTTTGAGTTCTATCAAAAGCACCTCTTTGTGGGAACTACTTGAATTTTGTAAACACTTGTTACTCAAAAGCATCCATTCCTTTTTCTCTTATGTAATTCTTAGGATTTTTTTTTCCCATTCTTCTAGTGATGCACTAACAATGGTT